GACGAGAATTTTGACAGATGGCTCTTTCCCGATTCTGCTTTTTGATCTGACAATTTGTGGGCTCAAATTTAAAAGTGTTTTGTTATCCTTCAGTGCGCCTTGTTTGGCAAATAGGTAATTTAAATTTAAACGAAAAGGGGTGACGGATTAAGATGCATAAAAAAGAATACAATTTACAATACAGTCGATGTCAATATTACTGTCACAATATTTGGGATTATCTAGATGACAAGCAATTGAGTGTGACGACTGTTCACAAATTGAACACTTTTGAACTTTATGCTATAAGATTGAAATGTGTACCTCTGGACAGAAGAATATTATTAAAAAGTTCCCTTTCCAAACAAAAAGAAAGTAGTGTGAAGACCTCTTTTGTTTCTCAAACTAAGCATTTCAGCAAGTAGAATATTTCTTATAAAAAATTGAAATGTACACCAAGTGTATTAGTTTTGCTAAAAAGAACTTGTTTAAATATGCTAAATATCGTACAATGTTGAATGGTAAATGTGTGAACTTGTGTCTCATTATAATAACTACAAAGTACTATTCTTGAAGTCTTTGATATAATCAAAATCATAACATCCCTAGGCGTAAATTATGGGTTACCACATGTTGGCTCGCCTTGTGGGTAGAAAAAACAAGCCCACGGGCGATTCGTTTTTTTACGCCAAGGAAGGCGTTTCTGGTCGATGGAGAAATTTGGGTATCGGCAAATTGTCACGTAGCCCTCACCGCACTGGACGGCCAACATCGTGAAAATTGTTTTTTAGCGAATGTTGGGGGGTTCCACTAGCAGACCTTCCCCGGGAAGGCGCCAGGAATTGTAATTACAAATTTGTATTGCAACCACTCGGCACGCATCTCACTCAAGTCAATTTCGGGGTGGTCCGTGGTTAAGCGACCGTGTAATTCACGGTTCTCAACGGATACCCCATCACTTGCGGTATAAAAAGCATTTAATTGCGGTTCACACTTTCAGTTGGATTAATGGGTCCAAATGAAGTTTAGCATTGGACTTCATTTGCTATTCTTAATTTGTTCCAAGTACATACAATTTGCATATATTCCTTGCATGTACGATAGACACTTTGTACACCTGTAACATTTTCCTTCTAATAATAAAAAAAAATCCTATGCTTCTTTGTGTTTTAGTAATAGCATTTATTAACTGTTTTCTTATAGTTTTTGTCGTGTAACCAACAAGAGCTTAAAACAAAACTCTGTGTGACGTTAGAGAAGTTTACAAATATTAAAACTAAACTGAATAGATTTTTTTGGCAATAGATTTTTTTGGAAACGTACTCTGCATTCCCAAAAGACATTTGCGAACAAAAAGGAATAGTAATCAGTGATGAAGTGTATTCCATCATACTTAACGCCGTATGAAAACTAAAAATATTACCTCAAACTGCATCGGGCCATTTACAATGTTCTTTAAATTGATTCCATAGGTAGTTTTGGACAGTGATTTTATAAATAAATGTATTTTCGTTAAAAATGCAGTCGCACCAAAAACTTCAAAACTACATATATACGTTCTGAAATTTTTTTTTAAAGTAACATTCTTTTATGAGCTTAGAATAAATTGCCGAATTGATCAGATCAATACTATGATACAATTTGTATGCCCTTTGAATGTTGCGGTTTTCAGGTCATTTATACTGAGTGGTGATTTTGTCAATACAACGTATACACTGCTTATTCGAGCATTTTCAAACTTTATCCCATTTCTTATCTCTTTGGTATCCCCCCTTTTACAATAATCGTCGTTTTGGGCTTCCCCAGATAGCTCTAACCCATGAGCTTTTGTCTGAAGGTACTTGGAATCCGAATCAGTTTAAGTCTGATGATTTAACGGAAGAATATTGAGAGGGTACTCGCCTCCCCAAAAGAAAATTCCCTTCAAAGTCCTGCTATAGAATCCATAATGATCAAGGTTCCAGCGTTTTGAGCGCCCTTGGGATGTCGGGGAAAGCTTCTCGTATACCCACAAAAATCAGTTTTCAGCCGTAGGAGCGAGATTTAAAACGTAGGCTCATGGTTTAACAGCAGGATGTTGAGAAGGCAGATGATTTGCCTCTTCCAAAGACGAATATCACGTCCTAGTCAAAATCTAGGTAAAGATTTACTCTACTACAGAGGCCATGTGTTAAGTATTTATGAGTAGATGTGTGTGGCGAATGGTCTTAGTTTTGGATTATTTGGTCAGCTACGACAAATGATTATCCGATTCATGGCCTACTTGATTTTAACTATAAACAAAGAAGAACGCTATAGTCGAGTGACTCGACATCAGATACCCGTTACTCAGCAAAAGGACAAGGGAAATGGAGATATGCAAGCAGAAAGCGAGATGAATGTGTAATATATGGTTATGTGGGCGGTAGGCAGATTTGGCGTTATACACGTTAAAGTGGGCGTGGCAAACTTTTTTTGGTCAATCGATAGGTATAGACGAGACTAATACATTTCAGTTACATTTTTTTTCTAGCATGAAAATTGTTTGGGCGGTTTGTGGGCGTTAGAGTGGGCGTGGCATATTCGCGTAACACACTTGCGCTGCGTAAGAAGCTCAAGAATCTGCATGACAAATCCCAATAGCCTAGATCTCAGCGTTTATACGGACGACGGACGGACGGACGGACAGACGACGGACGGACAGACGGACATGGCTAAATCGAATCGGCTAGTGATCCTGATCAAGAATATATATATGGGGTCGGAAACGCTTCTTTGTGCCTGTTACATACTTTCCCATGAATCTATATTACACTTTTACTCTACGAGAAACGGGCATAAGCACTACTGACTAGTGACTTTAAAATAACCCGGGGCAAAACCCCTCCGAAACACGACACGTTATGGTTTTACAAGCCTATACTTCTAAAAATGTTATATCTACATATAAATGGCGATTTCCGTCAATTGCGTTACAAATCGGCATTTTTACTGTCTAGTTTTGTTTTTTAAACTTTAGTAAAAAAAATATTTCGATATCTGCAGTAGTTTTCTAACTTTTATTACCATTTTCTTGAAACTACGTTGTGCAAATCGATGTACCTCCTACAGCTTATAAAAATGATCCGTTCACAAAGCTCAAATGAAAGATTATTTAATTTCAGGTAGCCCAAAGTGACCCTTATTTAATTTATTTTTTAATATTAATTTTTAACGGGCAAGTAAAAACAGGGAAGAAGCTATAGTTGAGTTATCGACTATCAGATACTCGTTACTTAGCTTAAGTGGTTTAAGGCCGTTAGAGTGGGCGTAGCACTCGGCTGAAACGTTTTTTTGTTTTCAACAGTGTGCCATTAATGTAAAACGTGTTTTTAAAATTCGAAAGGCCCAAAAATTGTTATAGGAGTGTAGGGAATAGTGACGAATAATCCTTGTTTTTTAATGTAACCTTTCCAAAAAATAATGTTTTTCAAAGGTTTGAAAGCAGAAAGTTGTTGACATCTATTGAGCATACTCCTGTAAAAGTTCGATGGTAAAATTTCAGCGGAGTAAAATACTTCAGCTATTGGCGCTAACCAATATTTTTTTCACTTTTAAAAGTTGTAGGCTAAGGTGACGAACTGATAAAATATACTTTGTACTTTGAAAAAATATACTTTAGTTCTGGGTTTAAATTGAACAAAAAAAAATTTGTTTTTAGTATAACAACTGTGGGCGGTCGAGAGGGCATGGCACTGATATAAACTTGCGCTGCGCAAAAAGATCACAAATCTTCATGCCAAATACAGACAGACGGACATGGCTAGATCGTCTCGCCTAGTGGTTCTGAACAAGAATATATATACTTTATAGGGTCGCCAACGCTTTCTTCTATCTGTTACATACTTTCTGAGAGATTCACTCTTTTCACTCTACGAGTAACGCGAACAAATTTTGAACTCTTAATAATATTATTGTAAATGCATTGTGGGCTCGATAAGAGAAATCGACTAGAATTATTTGAAATTTTTGACGTGACGTACCATATGAGATTTGACGTGTTTGCCCTTACCCTACTCGACACCTTACTCTCTATATTTCTAAAATCTGTTCAAATTTGTGAACAAGTAATTTTTGTAGTCTGTCACTCCAATAGCGTTTACCTACCACTGTAAAAATATCTTTTTGCACCGACGTATAGATCCACCACATATTTATTTTAATTTAAAAACAAAATTATTAAAAAAAAAATGTAATCGGTGCCGTTCTTGGGCTGCTGGACGAAGCTTTTATCGCCCAGAATAAAAACAATTTTTAATTGCAGGAAAAACTTTATTTTGCAGAAACTAAATAACGTGGCTGCCATTCCTCTAGACCACAATCACCAAGATCGTTCCTGCCATCGATTGGAAGTTTTCCGATTTCATCCATTTGGTAACTCTGTACAGATGGCATTTAAAACCTTTATTTGCCGACATAAAATGTATATTAACGTCTACCAAAACTGAAGGAGTATACTTAAAGACAATAGACACTGGATTGCATTTCTATCAGGGGTGTCACAGTAATCCCTTTCAACCAAAACTCCCCCGAAAAGCAATCTCGGTGTCAAAGAAACCGATACAAAAATAAAACGAATTAAAACCAACTAAATAGTAGGCTTTAAAAAAATGTTCTTTAAATTAGACAAAATATACTCCGAAACTTTATAGATTATATTTTGGTTGGTCCTCAAAACCGTCGACGGTTTCTTATCAAAAAGAATTGAAAACGGATAAATAGTTAAAATTTGGTAAAATTCAATAGTTTTTTAACTGCTTACAAAATTGTTTAAAATTTTAAAATATATCGGGATGAACCTTTCCCAAAAGCCTTCCTTCTATTTCATGTAGTATATTTAATGGACTACTATGTCTTATAGTTCCCATAGGAATAATTTGGTAAATTATATTCGTAGAAAAGTATATTACAGGTAGAAAAAAGCGTTTTGAAGATTTTATAAATAGGATTCTGTTTCGCGAAAGATATAAAAGCCGTTCAAAAACAAAATCAAAAATATTGACTCTAAAATGTTGTATCAATATTTTATTTATTTTACATACTCTTTAATTGCTATGACTTGGTAAATCCATAATTGCCTAGGAAATGTAATTAGGAAATGCTAACAAACAAAAGTGTACACCAAATTAATACAGATTGTCCTATTTCGCTCCGTCTTGGTTGGTGGCTCCCGAAATGAAAACCAACAGAACCACCGGTACGATGTACATCCACTAAAATTCAGAAGATTAGAAATATGGTAAGGAATTATTGTGTACTAATTGCACTTACGTATTTGGCGAAGAAACCCCTGTTGTCGCGAACTTCACCGCGCTCCCTGGCCTCACGTTCCCGCTCCACTTTCTGAATGAAGCCAGCGGTATCCGGCACGGGAGCCAATTCAGCATGGCGGATCAGGACATCGGTGCTGAATTGCGATTCAACCAACTTGTTCACGTCTTCGTCGGTGCACTCGACTGTGGCGGGAGCCGTGTCCTGCGAAACAGTGATGCCGGTAACGTAGCCGGAGGGATCAAGCGACACCCAAAGCACATCATTTAGTTGCGCCTGCAGCAGGCGACAAGCCTTGTTGGAAGTGATGAATTGCGCCTTGGCGCCATTTGAGTAAACCACCGTGGCCTTTAAGCGGTAGAAATCATTTTGCAAGGCGAGTTTCTTTAACGGAAAGTAAAAAGAGGAATTGGAACAAAATTGTTGTTTGAATATTTCTACAAATACTTCACTAGAAGGCTAGTCAAACCCCCAACTTTTACTGGGTAATACTGGCAACACTATGTATTTCAAACCCCGTTTAAGACTACCGCTTTTAGAAACGTAAAAATACTTGCAATAATTCATATTTTTTAAAAGTCGCATTAGGTTGGTGCTTTAATAATTCCAAGAGGTTAGTAACCATCATATTTAAGAAAGCTTTGCGGTACTATTAAAAATCTTGAAACAGATACAACATATTAAATAGGTAAAATTAAGTTTTTCGAAACTTTTCTGATATGTTAACAACTTCAATCGGAGATGCCTTTTTTAATAAAGCTACACAGCTAGGTAGACCTTAATTTCACGGTGGGAGAGGGAAAGACCGGAGGTATCATTTGATACAGACATACATACATACCAAAATAAGTAGGTTAAATTAATTTTTTCGAAGAATTTCAGTCGGAAGTGCCGTTAATAGAGCAAACCTGAAGCTAATGAACTAATAAGCTGACTTACACAGCTAGCTAGCCCCAGATATGTACGTATTTCACGTTGGGAGGGGAAAAGGCCGGGCTCTTCCTTGCCGGCTGTCCCATGTGCCTGGCACCCAAAACCTCAATTACCTTCAACATGTCCAGGTCGGCTTTGCTTAAAGCTGGTTGCTCGACATTGGCCAATCCCGAGTTCAGACTGGGAATGGTAACGTTCCCGCGAAAGGAAAAGCTATCCGAGTTGGCTGCCAGCGAGTGCTGGAGCTCCACCGTAATCCAGCTGTCATGCTCCAAGAAGCCCTAAACAAACATAATATAAAGTGGTCTGTTCAACCGTAGTGGTTTTGTACTTACCCAACTGCTAGCCACGACGCCCAGCAAAAAACAAAGCACGATTTCCGCCCTTAAGTTCATGATTTCCTAGAAAATTGTCAATTTTAATTTTTAATTTGTCAATTTTATGAGGTTGCGCTAGAGTGACCGCTCATCGCAAATATACCAAAACGCTTGACAGAAATATACTAAAATAAAGCACATCTTGTTTGGGGTACTCCTTTTTCCCAAGATGAACCTATGAACATTCACCCAGTTCTTACCACCTGTATCCTCGACAATTATACCTTTACCCGTAGAGTAAAAAGTATATTGGATTTTTAAGGAATACAAGAATTGCAAAAACTAGGGTTTAAGCCCCTGTCTAGCCTTTAGAATTTAAATTTTAGCACAAATACAACAAATATAAAATATTTTGCTAATAACTATCGACTGGCATTCTTCCAACCCTCCTTATTCTATTCGATTTGTTTTTAACAAAATAGTTTCAAATCATAATAATGGTACTAGTTTTTTCCCTTTTAAAAGACTTACAACTACATACTTTATGTAATGGGGAGTAAGAAAAGCTATAAAATAATTATTCAACTTTTGAAATGTCTTTTGTTATTAAAAGAATAAAACATATTACGTTGCTTCGTCAACTTATTTTAAAACAAGGTAGAAAGTACACTGATAAGAAAGGTAGTACAACCAAATTAGTAAGTTTGATTTACATATAATTTTTTTAAATTTTGGAAATTTACCTTTGATATTATTATGATATTATTTATTAGTGTCTTAAAATATTCAATGTACACATGGCTAACTTGGTGTACAGTATTTTCTAAATGGGTATAAATATTTTAAACTAAATCAAGCTGATTAATATTTTTTTGTGTTAAACTCAAATACTTACAACCAAATTTTGAATTCAATATGTAGATAATTATTTTACCTGCTCAATTTTGTACACTGTAAAAGTTATATTTTTCTATAGTTGCTTTTTTTACTTTAATTACACTGGTCCCTCCCGAATTTTTTTTAACGGTTCACGCCGACGTCGGATTTTGTGGTTTTTACTCTCATTATGTTGGGACTTAGTAGGCCAGTAGAAGATTTATAAATATGGCTATATAGCAATAACTGCTGATCTAAAAAATCCCAACCATAATGGGGGCACACACGTATTTCGATCAAACCCCGACTCCTTTAATGGTTAATAAAAAACTGACAAACTATCTTTAACTAAGGTGATCTTTTATAGTTACCGATGAGGGATCAGTAATATCGGGTTTATCATTCAATATATGATGTAATGGAGTATACATAAATATGTTGGCATGATTTGTTTTTTCAACTGTTAACCCTCTAATGATTTTTGTGTACTAATGTAATAATAAATAAGTATCAAATGCATAATCATAGCTACCGTTAAAACTGGTTTAATTTCTGTTTAATACCAATGTGACAACTTCAAATTAAAGTATTGTTGTAAATTTAATTTAAGTCTTCTATTCCGCCAAGTTAAAAACAAATATGTCTTGTGATTATAGTGTTAAAATCACAAAAAAGTGAAACGAGATAGTTGCTTTTGTAAGGTTTTAAATCGAGGCCAAATTGAAATCTGAGAAAACAAATCGTCAGGCATCAATGCCTTTTGACTTGCCTGAAAAATGTTCGGTTACTAGTAGTCAACAGTTTTGAAAAAAGTCGCACCAAGAGTGGTCTCGATGAATAGAAATGATTATTTTAAAGTAATTTAGTACAACCGGTGGCTCTCCAATTCAAAGTTTCTTATCCCATTTCGTATACGAATTATTGCTGCCGTTCTCAGATAGTAAAAACTGTATAATTAACAAAAAATATAGTTTTCTTTTATTTCAACGTGGTAATAAAACATAAATAGACAAAATGACAACAAATTCATATTAGAAGTCTTCTGATTTTTCTATATCTTAGGGAATTTCATACCATCACAAACAGTTTTTGAGTTGTGAACAATTGAAACGCATAAATGTTCGTTGTAGTTCAGGTCTCGAAGCAACTACAATAAAAATGTAAATGTTAATATATATTACAAATGATAATAAGTTTGTATATATTTACCTTAGGTGTCACAAACAAATACTGTGCCGAGCCGTGCTTCGTGGCTTCTTTAAGGAGTAAATCGAATATATGACGTTCGTTTTTGGCATCCATACCCTGATTAATTTCATCAACGCACCTAGAAACGTCCAAAAATTCAAACCATATGCAGGCTGATGCTGTCTTTCATAAATACCTGAATGGCACGTGAGTAACGTGCTGCAATGACAAAGAGTAAATTGCAATTGACACTGCGCGTTCGCCACCAGATTGAATAAACTTATCCAACGGCTGCAACTGGACATTTCTCCTAAACTGCACCATTATCTGAATGCCGTATGAATCGAAGTCGTACTGAAAAAAAATACATTTTATTTATGTTTTAACTAAACAGGAATATATTATGGCTTGGCTACTCACTTTATCAGTTTTGGATAAAACCACTTCTCCAACGTATTCAATAGACTCCATAAACTCGCTAAATTTGGTGCTTATTGTTTCTACCAAGCTAGCTAGTTTGGGCTCCCATTTGTTGTATAAATTGGACATTTCAGTCTCGATAGTTTTCGCTTGGTCAACAGACTCTTGTATTCCCTCTTCTAGCCTTTTGACTTCGTTTTGCAACTGTTGATAGCTGTCGATTGCCTAAATATTTATAAAATATTAATAACTCAGTTCGGTATATGTTTACTTAGTAATAGTTGCCCTTTATGCGATATCAAATCAGCAATTAGACTTATTTTAGTTTAAAACGGTATTTTAAATTTAATTTATTTGCCTAATATTTTTTAAATTTACCTCCGAATTGACGCTTTTCATGCACTCTAACCGTGCCTGGAAGTCATGTATTGCTTCAAGTATCCCGGGCAAATCCAAGTTTTCCAAATCTCTGAATTCCTTTTTAAAGGGAAATTTTGTGCTGGTTGGAATTTCCCCATCGCAAAGCCGCTGGATATCGCTCTTTCGTTTGTTAACATCGCTGATCTGATCTTCCAAGCTCTGCGTTAATTTTTGGAAGTCCCTCTACAAATACAAAGCTTATGAACAATTAAACTAAATTGTTTATTATTTGCTTACGGTTGCTGATATACTCAGTTGCTCGCTTTCCTTGAGTGCTTCACTTTGACTCTCATGTTGCACCATATAAACAGATGACTTTGTCTGGGCCAATTTCTTTTCAATCAAAAGACATTCTACAGTTTGCAAACAAATGCACAATTTGGTCTCTATTTCAATTATTTTCTTTAAATCTCTTTGCAAGCTTTTGTTAAAATTATTTTTAAGAGCGTCCAGTGCTAAAAAGGAAGATGTCAAATTCATTGATAATAATCAAAATTATAATTTAATGAGACAATCGACACTTACCATCGTTTTTCTGAAGGATTTCCAGCTTCCTCCTGAGGGTTTCAACTTCGCTCTTAAGATTTGTAAAATGAGACAGTTTTTGGTCCAGCTTTCGTTTTTTATCTTGCTCATCCTTTGTAACCGCTTGTAAACGTTCAAACTCATTGTCGGTCTTCGTTATAGCGTTCCTAATGCTGTCGCTCTCTCTCACAGCTTCGGAACACTGTTTCATCACCTGAGCCAATTGTTGTGAGTCTACTGTAATAAGTTGATTTTTTCCTCGGATAGTGCTCTCCGTAAGAATGGTATCGGAACGATAACGAGATGCCGTCACAACGAACTTCTTGTTTCCTAAAAAAGAAAATTAAATAAAAATTTAATAAAATCTAAACTATTAGGTCGAATGTAAAAATGTAAGGAACAGGGTATACACACCGCCAAAATAAACTCGAATGTTTTTTGGAATTGATGAAGTGTTATTGGCCACGGCTTCGGAACCAATTGGAATGTTATGAATTGAATAGGAGGCACACAGCTTGTTTATTAAGGGTATTGGTCCGGTAACAAGTTCCACAAGATATGCACGAAAACCTAAGGAGCTGTAAAAGAATATACAATTACAGTCTATATCCTCAATATATTACATTTTATTAAATGCTTACCGCAGATCATTTTTTGAAATACTTGGACTATACATTACTCTATCGGCTGGGGCGCAAAATATAATGTTAACTCCCAATTTTTGCTTTACACATAACTCGTTGATTAAGTCTGACATATCCTCTTTGTCCTCACATGCAAAGGCAAATAAATCGCGCTGCGATACAACGTTTTCCAGATATTTGGCGTCTTCATAATTGTCTACGTTCAGCTAAAGGTGGAGATATATTTCTAATATATTTCTTAAAATATGAGTTTAGAAAACTGACCTCAAGTATCATTGGGTCATAAACGTTTAATTTATACCGCTGTTTATTTTGTGCCAACCAGTTCATAGCTTTAACCAAATTTGGATTTTTCATTCTTATTTCCTGAAAAAACGTAAAACTTTTTAGTATCCTGTTTTAACCCTACTCTTCTTCTAATATTTTATAATTTACTTACTTCTATTTTTTGCATTTTCACGTTTCGCAATCGTTCTATTTTATGTTTATAGGCTGTAATTTCTGGAATCTTTTCATCATTTAGTTGTTGTTCAAGTTGTTTTCGTCTATTATACTGTTCCATGGCTTTACTACGAGCCGCTGCGCATGATTCCTTAACCCTTTCAAGTTCCGAAAGAATCTGGGGTCTGTTTTTGTAGAAGTCTTCTAACTCGTAATTTTTATTTTCCACCAACTGTTTTACTTTATCAGCTTCTGAAGCATTTCTTAGTGATTTTTGAATGTTTTGCTATTGAAGAGAATTTATCACAATTTTATAATAAGTATAAGATTTTTCCATATGAAATACTAACCTCCAGTTCGTATTTATTTTCTCGAATTCCTTGTTTTAGAGAATCTAGTTGACTTTCTATGGCATTTCGTTCTGCAACAGCTTTGTCTAATAAACGCGTCTGCAAAAGATCCAAAAATCTAATAATTGAAAGCGAAATAAACAATTAGCCTCTACCTTTTCCAAGCAAGCCTCTCTTAGTGACACCTTTGTCCTCTGAATTTGTTCTTGTGCCTGAACAAGTTGGTTGTGTTGCTCCTTTAATTTGTCGCTTTGATTTTTGGCCTTTTTAACTTGGGGTTTTAACTGTGCGACTTTTGCTTCTCCAGCCAGTGTCTCCACCCATAATTTCTTGGCACTGTATATTTGCAACTTTTGCTTGACTTCTTCGCGTTCTTTATGTTGGGCAACGGTCATTTGCAACCTACAAAATTAAAATATACCGTAAAATATTAAAGTAATAATATATAAAGCTAATATTAAATATATTAAAATATAAATTGCTCGGTTAAATCCAATTATATAAAATACCAACCCTTGGTCTTAACACATACTTAGTATGTGATTAAAAAATGGTTGACTTACTGTTCCAATCGTTTTTGCTTTTTAACAAGATCATTTTTCTCTTTTTCCCGGTTCGAGTGAGTATTCGCCTGTTGTGTGCGCATCTGCTTCAAAAGATTGAAGCTACTGGTAAGTTCATCGTCGCACACGGAAGACATTGTGTTGAGAAGAAGCTCTTGAGGATTCATCTTGGAAAAGTCCTAAACCGGTTTACTTGCATTAATTAAGTCACTCGATTTCTGACATGTCGGTATTGCAACTTACCTGAACCCGATCCTGCGGGAGGAACTGGCATAAATTACTGACTTGTATGTTGTAGGAGGACACGGTCGCGAGGAAGTTCTTCTTGGAGGTGTCCTTGTCATTAACTGAGAAGGTGGAAGAGCCATTTGAGTTGATGATGCGCCGAAAGGTCTCCGTGGTGTTGGCTGCGCGTCCGTAAACCCGAACAATAATCGTGGCCGAGGATTTGTTGCTCTGTATGTAGTCAGCAACGCTGGCGGAGCGATCCAGGAGAATCGGTTCGCCGCCCAGGCCCAGAATAATG